AATAACATTGTCTTTTTATAACTCAGAGAATCGCCTCCAAACTACCTGTTGGTTTCCTAAGAAATCCACCTATTCCTGGTATAATATATAGCTCTGATGGTTTTGGTTTTTGCTTTCCCTCTGCTCTCTGTTCATAAATAAAGTCAACAGGCTATTTTTTAACTTCTGGGAAAACATGTGCATTCTGCTGCTCTCCTTTCTTGCTGTGTTCTTCTTTATTTCCATTTTTTTTACCAAACTATTTACTCCACAACAGCTATCTTGCTATTCTTTTCTCTTTTACCAGTTAAACCAGTATCCAGTGGAGAGGGAAACCAGAGAAGTCAAATTTCTTCTTCACTTATCACCTTTCTTACCCTTGGTTAACAGCTTGCCTGAATCATTGGCCTGGTTGTGAAATGGTGCTGGTAGACTCACAAAGTGCCTCCAGCAGCTCCAGTTGCATCTGCCCAATGACACTGGGGAGATAAGGGGAGTAGCATGCAATCTGTCTGAAACACAGATACCCCCAAGACATCAGCTATTTCTTTCTTTTTGCTGTTTTGGGAGCTGTGAAGGATAAGGGATAGTTTAGATTTGCAATTAAAATGAAGGGAGGAAGATCAACAAAGAATCTGGGATCTGTAGTGATGATGCTGTTGCAGTCTTAATTGGATCCTTGCAATTTCAGGAAGAGGAAACTGCATTTTGAGCTCCAAAATCTGAGCAGACAGATGTCCCCTATGCTGTAGTACCTAGTATCACCCCCTACTGTGCTGGCTTGGCTACCTCTTGACCCTGTCATAGAATCATAGAATGGCTATGGTTGGAAAGGACCTTAAAATCACCTAGTTTCAACCGCTCTGCCATGGGCAGGGGCACCTTCCACTAGACCAGCTTGCTCAAAGCCTCATCCAACCTGGCCTTGAATACTGCCAGGGATGGGGCAGCCACAGCTTCTCTGGGCAACCTGTGCCAGCGCCTCACCACCCTCGTACCAAAGAACTTCTTCCTTATATCCAACCTAAGTCTCTCCTATTTAAGTTTGAACCCATTACCGCTTGTCCTATCACTACAGTCTAGTCAGGTCTGTTCTCCCTGCCACTGTCTTTCCATGCAGGTGAGCAAGCACAGGATGCACCAAGGAGCAGGGGCTGCCTCCTCCAGTGTACCTGCCTAATCAATCTGCAAGTGCAGCTTCACATGGGGGAATGTGGCCTTGCATTGGCAAAGATTGAATCACTGGAAATGAAAAGAACTGGCTTGTAATTGTGGGAAAAGCACCTTATGGGAAAAGAAGTTAACTCACACAGCACTGTAGTCAAGTCAAGTTCAAATGAACACAAAAAAAAATGTTATCTAGGAAAGTATCAGCTGCAGGTGGTCCACTGATGAATTACCCATGATAAACCAATAGGTTCTTAAACGTCACTGCCTTTCTCTGCTTTAAAGAGAAATTATGGTTAATTTTTGTGAGCCGAAGTATTTCTACTCTGTATTTCCAACCCCTTTGTGATGCAGCTGTGTGCTTGCACAGGTAGCAAAGTTTTCCAGCTTCCCTGGTGGCCCAGGACTTCTCCAGCCTTTCCTCTCCTGTCTCTTTCCTCTTCTCCCTGTTTTGGAAATCACACAAATTGCCATGTGCAATAATCCATTGCCCTTCTTCCAGTGTGCCACAGAATTAAAGACATGCAGATTTGCTGTGTACATTGCCTCTGAGGGCTTGCTATATATAGTTAAACATAGTAGCTACACTGCTGTGCACAGTGCAAGCCACAGACTATGCAGTCCCAGCAGAGAATGACAGACGATGGTTCTTGCCAGGTCTTTACATCAGAGGTAGAGGAGGGAAATTCATTCCCTTTTACACACACACCCATACACACCCTTGCATATGGACACAAATGCTTTCAAGCTCCTTTTCTGTTTGGGGTTAAGACTATATTTCCATGAATATTTCTTCTGCTGGAGCTGTGTTTTCAAGTGAAAGTATTAAACGTAAAGTGAATGTTTTTGTTTAAAAACACAGCCATTTTCAACAGAGCGTACTCTGGCTTTGGGTTGGTGCAAACTAAGCAGTCATGAAGATACTCAAGTTCTCCACATTTAAAAAAAAATAAGAATTAAAATCTGGATTTTCTGAAGAACTCTGGGAGGAGCATTGACAGCAGGCAGTGTTGCTGCCTTACGGCACTAGCTATCTGGGAAAGAGGGCAGACCTTACAGGAGAATGTTATATGTGCTGTGCCACAACATATAACTCTGAAAATTGTTAACAAAATCAATCCTGAAATTAAGCAAGACAAGCATCTTTTCCGGGTGCATTTCTGGTGTGCACAAGAGGCATGCTGCAAGGGCGTTCCCCTTGAATTGGATTATCCTGAGCATGTATTGCTGTTCCAGGTCAATGCAGTCACCATCGATGGGATCACTCCTCTGTTTAATGCTTGCTGCAGTGGCAGCGTGGCCTGTGTCAACATGCTGCTTGAATTTGGAGCCAAGCCACAGCTCAGGAACCACCTTCCTTCACCCATTCATGAAGCGGTCAAGAGAGGTAACATTCAGGCTCTGAGTGAAACTAACAATATCTGAGGAATACATCTTTTATTGATGTTAAAATATTTTAAAAAACCCCAACTTGTCTGTACTGGTGCAGATGAATAGGCTTGGCTTATTCCCAGCTCTTGTGCCTCAGTGTTTGTATTGGGGTGTATTCTGCTCTGCAGAACTCCAGAGTCACAGCTCCTCTTCTTTCCACAGGTCACAGGGAGTGCATGGAGATCCTTCTGGCCCATGAAGTTGACATTGACCAAGAAGACCCGCAGCATGGGACCCCCCTCTATGTGGCTTGCACATACCAGAGGACAGACTGCGTCAAGAAGCTTTTGGAGCTAGGTACACCTGGAAAAGGGGACAGAGGACAGCTGTGGTGGTGTGAGCCAGTGCTGCTGGTCTCTCCAGGCTGCCTCTCCACTGCAATCATTGTGGGTTATTCCCACAAAACGTGTTTGGGAGCCTCATTTCAGTCTCCCAAATGAGGCTGTGAGTCTCATTTCAGGCTATTAAAAATTTCACCTACATTCCTGAAGAATTTATCATTTCCTCAGGAAAGAAAGCCCTAATTACAGAGACCTCTCAGAGACTGTCTGAATGTGAAAATAGAATACTTTTAGTTTTCTAGAATGATAACACAAAGCATGGGCAATGCTGGCTAATACTAGTGACCAGAATCAACTTGTGATTATGATAAACTGCCATGCTAAGCACTTCTCAGTGGATGATGAAGACAGCAGTAAAGCTGTTTGAAAGAATAATCACTGCAGGTCCAGGCAAAGTCTATGAGCTAGCATAAATTTTTGCTGTCAGTGTACATTAGCTGACCTGCTCAAAGTGGGGCCCCTCCTAATGCCTGCGGAGCCTAGGGCAAGCATGTCACTTTCTGTGCTCCCAGAGTTATTAAAATTAGATACCTAAAGGGTTCCTCCCTCCTCAATAATTAACTTAACATAACCCATGGTAGATTTTATGTTTTTAACAAATTTACAGAGCATATGGTAGTCTTTGAACATCCATTGGGTTGAAGGTTAAACTGCTCAGTCCTGTCTATCGCAGACAGGGTTTGGTGGCTCAGAGGACTTTTACACAGCAGGTATTTGACCTGCTAAGTTTTGCACTGCTTCTATTGAAAGAAATGAAGGAGGTCTGTGTGCCATCCATCCCCTTCAGTTATTGAGGCTACAGGTGGAAACCAGCCCGTGTGATGTGGGTTCAGACAGTCCCTCCTGCCTCCCAGATCTAACCACACTCTTGTTCACTCAAGGAGCCAATGTTAACATGGGGAAGCGATTAGACACCCCACTCCACGCAGCAGCAAGGAAATCCAATGTAGAGGTAGTCGTCTTGCTGACAGACTATGGTGCTAACCCAAAATGCAGAAATGCTGAACTCAAATGTGCCCTGGATCTTGCCGTACCCAACAGCAAAGTGGAGCAGGCACTTTTGCTTCGGGAAGGTAATGGTTTACTTTCTTCTTTCTTTTTTTTTTTAAAGCAGAACAGCATTTGTTTATTTTACCTAAGTACATTTTCTTGACTGTTTTTATAAGTGATGCTCTATATAAGTTATCTTGTTTTCTCTACCTATTTCAATTCTGCAGCACATGACACAGAAATGAGTGAGATATCTCCATTTTGCTGCTAGATCTGCCACCAAGTGTTAGGGTTTCATTGGGTAAATTGGTCAGTTTTTCCATGCTTTTCTTTTTCTGTCTTCTGAGGCAAAATTATATGTATTTACCTATCGGGACTCTAAGGATTAAAAACTGCCATGAGAGTTTATTCATAGATAATGTGTCCCTGCCCATGGCAAGAGGTTTGGAACTAGATGACCTTAAGGTCCTTTCCAACCCTAACTATTCTATGATTCTATAATTCTATGATAACATTTTAGTACCACCATCTTCTGTTCAACCTAACACCATTGCTCAGTGTCCTGCTTCCTGCAGAAAAGGCAACATGAACGTGTGTGCCTTCAGTTGCCAGGAGAAAACAAAGCTATTTGCCCGGTTGGTTATTCAGCTTCACATCACAGAGCTCTTCCATGTGGTTCAATGGGCTGCAACACGAGCACAAACCAGCAGTGCTTCTTGCAGATTACTTTCAGCCTCCTTAAAATTGTTTTTCCAGTCTACTGGAAGAAACTTCTGAGCATAAATGAATCTAGATCTTCTTGTGTCATTTTCACCTGTACCACATACAGCCAGAACTTGACGCATTCAATAGCAATATCCCTGGGATATGGACATGCTGAATTAAGTCCCCCCTTTCCTCTAGCCTCTCTGTTTCCCAGCTCACTGGTACCCTGTTAGATGATCTATGACCCCCTGGGACTTAGTCAACATGGAAGGTGAATGGTGCTCCCCTATGCAGGCAGCTTGCCACCTTTCTGAGCCTACTCGCTCCCCACCAAAGAGCAAAGCATGATGTGCATGGAGAACCCACTTCCAGCTGCAAAATAGCTCTTAGATGGTAAATTAATACTGTCAGTGTTGCACATAGGCTTTGTTCCGGCTGTCTGCACACAGGTGGGCTTTAAGGAGGAAATGAAACATTGGCTTAATATCTTCTGCCCTACTCCCTTTCCCTGTGGCTTTTCATGCAGAGCTTTAATTTGTCATGTCTAAAGCCTTCTGGGAGGACTTGTGCTTGAATGCTTTTCACCTCTTGTGACTTCTGTCCCTGCATCTGAGATGTTCAGGGCTCAGCAGTGGCAGGCTGTGTGAGCAAAGGCAGAGCTCCAGTTGACCTGTGTGAACAAGAGTTAGTGTAGGCAAAGAAATATCCCAGTATTAATAACTTTCTCTTCATGAACTTTCTTTTTGATTTCCCCTTTCAGGTTGTCACCCTCTCCTCCCTTACAGCCAGGGGGACTATAGTGGCACGTCAGCTCCTGCTGGCTCTTCACTTTTCAGAAATTCAGTTCCCTCATTTTTCTTACCTGTCCCTTCAGTTCCTCTGTCAGATACTTTGCAGATCTAACATCTGCGACTGCCCTTTTCCAGTACTTCTGTGTTTTTTGAGGTCCTTCTGTTTGAAATTAGCATCCCCAGGTTGAAGAGTTTTCCTTCTACCCCCTGACTTCTATGAATTTCTGCTCAGAGGGAGCATTATCAGTCTGTTTAAGCTCCTAAATTTTCCAGTAGTAAAAGCACTGGTTACCTGGAAGATGTAAGGACTGGCTTTTAAGCACACATCTCTACCCATTGCTTGCCAGATACTGCTGCGATCACTACTATTTGGCCAGAAACTGGAGGGGCAGGGCTGAGATAGGGCTCAAAAGCTGAGCATGTCTGAGCAGGAGTAAAGGTTCAACCTGGAGCAGCTCCAGCAAGAGGAAAGCAAAAGAGAGGCAGGGACACATTCACTAGCAAGTTGCATTTGCACATGCAAGCATGAAGCTGCAGAAGCAATGGAACCTCATTTCCAGTGTTTTTGCACCTGCTGTGCCCCTCACCTGACCCGTGGTGGGCTAGGGGCATCTGCCTGGTCACCCCATGGGGAAGCCACCAGGGCAGCACTGCTGCTCAGACTGGCCTCACTGTGGGCTCAGTAAGTCCTCCGACGGTTTCCCTACCAGTGGACTCTCCAATGTTTAACAAGAGTTTTTCACATGCAGCAACCTTTACCCCAAAGCAAGGGAAGGGTGAAATGACCTCTCATCCATTATTTAGCTATTAATGAATTTATTTATTTATTTATTTATTTAATTTTATTTTATTTATTTATTTATTTATTTATTTAAACCTTGATGTCTTTTTGCACAAAACTTTTGGAGACTTTCTATCTTTGACATGTTTTTCTTTCAGTCAGATTTAATTAAAATTGGATGACATAGTAAGAAATTATTTTGAGGAACACTGATAGACTGACAGACATACATAAATATTCTGAGACAGTGTGGTCACGTGAAAAGACTAAGCTGCAGTTACTATTTGTGGAGGTACCTGCTGAGACATCAGGAGCTGATGTCTCTCTATATATGAACAACTAACTGCATTTGCCACGTCCACCCAATTACGGATGGTCTACACTGAGCACCTCTGTAGCTCTCCGTAATCACTCTTGCCTTTATTCTTACGCCACCACTGGGAGTTTTCTTATATCCTGAGTAAGGGCTATGCACTCTGGAGCTCTCTCTGCAGCGCAGACACTTTTATGGTATTATAAGTTTTTGGTCAAGAAAAGATGCAGAAGAGCCTAGCCATGCATGCAGAAAGAGGTTTTTAGTGCTCGTATTTTTCAAGTCACTAAACCAACTTTGACAACAGATATTAAATATGAACAATAATATATTTAGCTCTCCCTGACTTCAGCAAATCATTGTGTAGTGTTTAATATGATTTGCAAATCTTGCTGGTGTTTGTTGCTTTCTGACTTATACTGATGGTGAGGTTGGGGGTTCTTGTTCTTTCCTTTTTTCCCCCCAGGTCCTGCAAGCCTTGCCCAGCTGTGCCGGCTGTGTATCAGAAAACATCTGGGTCGGTCATGTCTATATGCAGTCCGCAAGCTGCACCTGCCTGAGCCACTTGAGAACTTTCTCCTTTATCGATAAGTCTGCGGCTGTCTTTACACTGGAAAAGAAAGAGGAACAAATGGTTGTTTACTCCAAAATTATTATATCTAAGCAAAAAAACCCAAAGACATCATTTATTGTCTACTGTGGATACCAAACATCAGCTGCTGCATGACAGTACTAATTGAAAACACCTTTTCACAGATGGAATGATATGGAGACGGTTCCCTCACAGTCTATTGCCACATCCACTTATGCCAGCCCAAGAAGCTGTAGTACCTGAACAGCTCACTTGACGTGTGTTTGTAGATGCACATGCACACATCAACTCGCAGATAGAGGTTTCCCCTGCATTTAGTGCTATATTTATTCATGTAGTATCTGTGCAGCTTCTTCCTCTTGTCTATCCAATCTCACTGTCAAAATTGAGGTAGTTGCTGTTATTCTTCCACTAGTGAGAGAAGGAAAGCCCACAGTGCCCAACATTTGCCATATATAATATATTGCACATCTTTTCTTGGCTTTGACTTCACATTCTGACATCTTTTTCATATAATCTACTGGAGTTGTAGCAACTTCCAGCAGGCTGTGGCTATTCAACCACTGTAGATCCACTTGCCTGGAGCCCAGCTGCCTGCAGCACTAATATATCTTGTCCTCTGAAGTGCAAGAGATGTTACCAAATCAAGTGTGGGTCTTTGAAATAAGCCCACAAAATGTGTGAAAGTCTTAAAAAACCCTTCATCTCTTCTAAAAATATCCCTCCAATGCTCTGGATTATGTTCTGGCTGTGTTTATTCATTACATGAATAATATTTCCTGCTTAATTCAAGGACAGAACTGCAAATGTTTTCATAAGCACTATAGGTCAGCTTCCAGTGTCTGTCCTTGGCAAGACTTAAAGAAAAGCAAGGGGATGATGTGCTGCTCTTTCAGGCTTTCCATGCTTTGACATTTCTCAAGTCCTCAGACTGTAGAGCAGGACAGAAGCAGGGCCTCTAGGGATGGCTGTGCATCACCCAAATGTTGTCCTTGTTGGATATTGCTCACCAAGCTTGTCTGCTTCTTCGTCCCCTAGAATCATTGTTTCTATGATTCTACTCTAGAGTATTTCACTACCTCCCTAGGAGAAGGAATTTTTAGAGTGTTCTGACTTTGCCTGTTGTGGTATTAGTTTGTGTCATCAAGGTTAGTAGCCTGGACACAGTAGAGCTAAAAATGTATACCTCTTTGAGGTGGAAAACATGGGATCAAGTGACTGGTGCAATGCCTGTGTGTTTCTGTAAAGGTTTGCTCATTTCTCCTGTGGTGTTGTGAGGGCAGAAATGTTTCTTCAGACCTGAGTATTCATAAAATTATTCTATGAGACAGGTCATGGTGTTTCACTAATTGTAGTAAAAGGGAAGTAGAGTTAAAACGAGAATCTGACTCCACTTAGCTCAACTTCACAGGTCCAAGAGGCTGATGACATGTTTTCAGGCTATGAGATGTAGTGATTTCATTATGAATTAGTATGCATGCTGGTACCAATTTTCACTGCCCATACATCTTAAGCCAGGGAAAATTGGGCTGCTGGAGCCTGAATATGGGTCTGGATTCCAGCAGCCTTTTAGCTCCTGTCCTTGCTTCAGCAGCAGCCGCCTCTCTGTTTCGATGAGGAGATTAATCTCTAAATTTCCCATGAAAGCTTCCCTCTCTGAGAGGTAGGTCTAACATTTCCTGTATTTTCTTATTATTAATTCAACACAAGTAAGATAAACTGTGCTCCCAGAAGTTCATGAGACTGGACCTACAATGTTACAGCCAAAAATGAGTGTAGTTTTCAGCCTGTGTTTGCACATATTGAATGCTATCTGATGGCAAGAGCTATTGCCCATAAAGTTGTCAGTGACATGAATGACCTTATATAGCACAGTATATCATGAATCTCAGGGATTTGAACACTAAATTCTCAAGTGCCTCTGAAAATCAAATACTATCAAGAAAGAAATGTCTATATTAACCTGATGTCAGCAGATCTCTCTCAGTCTTATCTTTACTGCCAGCTCACCTGCTCTGTTTATAAGGTGGCAGTCAGGACACCATCCTCTATCTAGATATAGAGACAAAGGCTCAGCTGTGTGGGTTGTCAGACTTGCATTGCAATCAAAAGAGCTAAAGCAATTTATGTGATCTATTTCAGAATTTGTAATACTGAACTGATTTCCTACTGCGATATCAGTGAAAGGAGTATTTCACTTGCAGAGGAATTTAAATTGAAAAAATGTATCTCTGTTAAGGAAATGCAAAGTCTGTTCAGCCTCTCAGAAAGGTTTATGTTAAGAAGCAGCAGAAGCTGACATATATTTATTGCTGATATTAGCTTCCCATCAAAAAATCACCTCACCTTTGCTTCCTCCTGGAGACATCATTCTTCCTGAAATTCTGTGTATCAGACCATCTGGGGGGAAGAGAGCCATAATAAATCAGAAGACAAGCTCAGAAGTCCTGATGTTAAGAAATTTCATCAGAAACTTTACCCAGACTTTCTTGCTCTATTTTAAAAGATTATGTTACCCATTTCATTCTCATTGACTGCTTTGTGTTGTAACAGTGCAAGGAAATACTAGTGAGGAAATAACTGGAGGAAGTATCTCATTTTTTTGCAGCTATGCCATAGGGAA